AGGTAGAAGGGGCAGTGGGGTTTGAGCTGTCATCTTTTGCCCTTCTGGGGCTTGAAACCAGGGTATACCCAATAAGGAGTGTCCCGAACCAACCAGAGGGGGCTGTCTGACTATGGCAGCTATCATCACTAGATCCATTTTACAAGCCCAACAAAGGTCAGGGTTGTTTTACAGGGCTATGAAGGCCTCTACATAGGGGATTTCTATCCATATTCCCTGCTGGTGGCAAAGTAAATCTAGTTGATAGATTATGTTAATATTTTGGTTTTCTGTCCAAGATTCCTGGTCTTGGAGCACAGTTGTATTCAACTCAGGCTGTGTTACAGAAAAACATTAGCCTTTTCCTTTATAGGGTTTTGGAGTCAAACTTTTCCCAGTTCTTGAGAATGCATCTGAGGGTTGTGTCCTGTGGTATGAAGATGGAATTACCCATCTGTAAAGAGAGAATAGACAAGAAAAAAAGTGTCTTCTCTTCCTATTATCCTGAATAGGACACCCCCCATTTGTCCTTAGGGTTCTGGAATGAGCTGATCTTACCATGTACCCTTAACTTCAGTACCCTCTTTTCACAGAAGAGATACCAGAGTGAACAGAGAGCCCTCTCCTGTTCATCCGTGGGGTTCCGGGAAGAACTGGTCTTACTATTTACCCCTAACCTTGCCTTCATCTCTGTTCTAATGATAATCTGTTAACTTGGGACCAGCCTCCGTCTCTGTCCTATGGGTCTCTTGTGCCGGCGGCCTTGCGCCATCCTATATTCTTGCCTCCATGACCTTACAGTGACTCTCACTTGGAGCATTCGAGCAACAAAATGATTATCCCTTTTCTCAGATTCCCATTTCCCTTGTTCTCTAACTAGACAAGAAACCTGTTTTTCAGCTAACTGCTGCAAGGGGGCTGAACTTCCCTCCCTTCAAATATGACCTTGAAGATCTTGATGAATATTGAGAAAGGCATGGAAGTGATTAGAGAAATGGAAGCTCCAGGAGGAAGTAGGAAAAAGCCAGAGGAATAATCATGGAAACCTTTCTTAGGCTTCCAAAAACAGCAATCCCTTGGATTTGAGAGGGCAACATTTATTTGTCTTCTTAACATAAAGTAGTAACCTCTGGAGGACTTAGGGCTTGATGTAAGAATTCACAAATGGCAAAGGAAGAATTTCCCCTCCTCCCGAAGGGGTGCTAACTCAAAAAAAGCAGGTAGATGGGGTCCTTAAAGGGCTAGAATGAGGCCCTATGCGGGCAGGAAACTACTTCAGAAGTCACCGGAAAATTCAGCCCTGGACCGTAACAGAAACGAAAAGCATATGGTAAGTCATAAGGAGCTGACTGGGGATCCAATTAGTGTCTGTCCTAGCAGTGTGCCAACAGACAGAGGAAGGATTAGAGGTCATCTGAGCTGGTAGGGTAAAAACTAGTATAAGTCTCGAGATATCCACAAGGGAGCCCATGTTTTTGCTGCTGCGCAAATTCCGCAAGAGCTGAGGGTGTACCAATAACAGTTACATGGCATGCAAAGTGAAAGCAAAAGAGGCTAACTTGCCTCGAGGTGGACAGTCCGAAGGGTGTACAAGGCCATTTCAGAATACACACAGAAAACGGGAGAATAGGTGGTGTGGGTTTTTGGGAAAGAGCCAATTTTAGTTGAAAAAGCAGAGGAAACCCCAGACATTGCACAGTTTTAGGCTTTAGCCTTACCACTCTCATGAGCCTCTTGTCTCGGAGAACCTTTGTGTCTCAGGTCAAGGATCTTACCTGTGAAGGACTCCAAGGTCCTTCCTACCCCTGTGAGCTACCCATCAGCAGGAGCTGAGAGATGAGCTTGGGGAACAGAGCCACTGTGGCCGAGAAGAATTGTTCTGGGGGGTGGTTAGTAAACCGGAGAATGAAAAGAGCAAACAAAACTGTGTACAAGGGTTAAACACCTCCAGCCAAAGAAGGTGAGGCATAGAGATGTCTTACCACTGCGGAAGCATATTCGAATCATGTGGCACCAAAGTATGTTAATATTAGGGAATGTATCCAAGCCACAGCACCAAAGTATGTTACCAGCAGCAAATCCATACAGGTCTGCAGCAACCTCAATTCTTGCTTCCTCAGAAGAAAGAATTCAACCAAGGAGCATAAGGCAGAGTGAGAGACCAAGACAAGTTTTAGAGCAGGAGTGAAAGTTTATTTAAAAGCATTAGAGCAGGAATGAAGGGAAGTAAAGTACACTTGGAAGAGGGCCAACCAGACGACTTGAGAGATTAAGTGCACTGTTAGAGCTTTGACTCGGGATTTTATATGTTGTCATGTGTTCAGGGTCTTGCATCTCTCCTCCTTGGATTCTTCCCTTGGGGTGGGCACTCCACATGCACAAAGACCTGTAAGCATTTGGTAGGGGTCACATGTGCCATGTGTTTACTGGAGTTGTACGCATGCTCACTGGAGGCATTCTTCCTTTACCAGTCCAAATGTTCCTAGAGGGTCATATACCAGTTAAACTCTGCCATTTTGCCTCTTAGTGCACAGGCATGAGCCCACTCTCCAACTCCTGAGATTTTATCAGGAAGCTGCTAATCACCAGTTTCAGATGTTTCTGCCTATTGGAAGATTGCCTTTCCCTGGCATCAGCTATGACCAATTATTATTTTAGAGAGACAGTTTAATAATCACCTGACCATCACCTGATGGTTGCCTGACATTCTTGGTGGTGGCGTGGGAGTGAGGGGGTCCTCTCCTTCCCTGCTCATGTCTGGCTAGCTACCTGCTGTAAAATGAGACATCAATCAATATGCATAAAATGTACATTGGTACGGTCTGGAAAGGCGGGACAACTCAAAGCAGAGGAGGGGGCTTCCAGGTCCTAGGTATATAAGAGACAAAAGGTTGCATTCTTTTGAGTCTCTGATTAGCCTTTTACTGAATACACAATTTACATGTGAGTGGCAGATAGAGGAATAGTCACTTAAGTCTTAGTCTGGCTTAGTGAAATAATAGGGCAGAGGAAGCAATCAGATACACATTTGTCTCGTAGGAGTACAGGGATGACTTTGAGTTTTGTCTGTCCTTTGTCCACAAGGAATTTCCTTGTGGGCAAATTGTGAGGGAGGTATGGGACGTATGTAGCTTTTTTTTTTTTTTTTTGAGACGGAGTCTTGCTCTGTTGCTCAGGCTGGAGTGCAATGGTGCAACCTCGGCTCACTGCAACCTCCGCCTCCCAGGTTCAAGCGATTCTCCTGCCCCCGCCTCCCGCGTACCTGAGGTTACAGGTGTCTGCTACCACACTGATTTTTATATTTTTAGTAGAGACAAGGTTTCACCATGTTGGCCAGGCAGGTCTTGAACGCCTTACCTCAAGTGATCCACCTGCCTCGGCCTCCCAAAATGCTGGGATTACAGGTGTGAGGCACCACATCCAGCCTTTTTTTTTTTTTTTTTTTTTTTAATCTTTGTAGCTATCTTATTTAGGAATAAAATAGGAGGTAGATTTTCCTGGTGCAGTTTCTAGCTTGACTTCCCTTTGGCTTGGTGGTTTGGGGATCCTGAGATTTATTTTGTTTTCACAACTATATAATCATTGTGCGCCTTACTACCCTCACTCAGTATTATACTTGGGAGAGTTAGTCATGATGATACATATAATGCTAGCTCATTCATTTCCGCTGTTGTTCAAGTGTACCAAAACCTTAGTGGGTTTTTAAAATTCATGTGAAATCCACAAGAATGTATTTTGTGAAATTTGTAGCATTTATTCTTGTGGATTTAATATGAATTTTTAAAACCACTTGAAAATGTATTTAGATTTCTTTAGTCATTATTTCGTTTTTTTCCTTTATTCTAGAAACTATCTGGAGGGTAGCTTTGAAGGGAATAAGGACTGGATTAGGAAAATCACTTATGAAACTATTACATTAATCAAAATGAGCGAAGATTAAAATCTGAACTAAAGATTCTGATGTATCACATGGGATAAGTTGGAAATGATAAGAAGGAATAGCAATTAATAATAGACTGAGGAAATTTGCATGTCACATGAAGAAATAAGCTATGATAAAGGGACAATATAGTATTTTACCTTGAGAAAACAAATGGGGACTCTTGCTTTACTGGATCTGTATGATTAAAGTTGAAGTGATATAAAGAAAGATAATTTGGTTCAGTAATAAACAGGAGAAAATAAGAAATTATGTATTTATTTAACTTCAATGTCATAAGTATGTATGTTGTATTTTCTGGAGTTGCCACTAAAAAAATAGAAAAAGAGTTTATAAATACCATACTAACAGAGGGGATGAAAGAAGAGACAGGAGAAATTGAAAAGAAAGAAAAAAGAGAAGATAGAATAAAAAGCATAAAATAAGATACCACATATATCTCTATATATTAGTGTATATCTCAATAATTACAATAAGTGTAGATGGATTAAGTGAACTAGTTAAAAGACAAAGGTTGTCAGACTAAAATATTTCAGTTACAGACAGTCTCTGATTTATGTTCAATTTAAGATTTTTCAACTTTACAATGGGTTTATTAGGATGTAACCCCATCATTAAATTGCAGAGCATTTGTGTATGCTGTTTACAAGAAGGAGAGAAAGGTTGAAATTAAAAGATGGGAAAAGATATAGTAGGCAAATTTCAACAACAACAAAGCTGGTGTGGTATTAGTAACGTCAGACAAATAGATTCTGCAAGGGTTAGTTTTTAGAACAATGCTAGCATTCTAAAACAGGAACCTAAATACAGGCCTTAGAGATGAAATTGAAAAGAAGGCAATAGTGTATTTCCAAACAACTAATATGTTCAATGAGTATTACCTGATTTGAAGAATAGAGGCAAAACTGGAAGTTTGGGAAAACAAATACTCATAGATTACATGGAATTTACAGTTTAACCTAGTATTTTCCTTCAGAGTCCAAAATTACTGGCTTTTTCTTTCCGTGTATACTGTCTATGATTGTTGACATCACATATAAAATTAAATGCATTTGGTAAGTCCTTGCTCTTATGTTTTCAGGAATTCAAAATGTCCTCAGCCTCTTTTGTGCAGTCCTCACAGAAAATAAGGTTCTCTTCCATTCTGCAAGTTTCCAGAGACTTAGCGATGCTTGTAGAGCCCTGGAATCTTTAATGTTTCCTCTTAAATATAGGTGAGGTTTTCATTTGTTAATTTTATTTATTCCTAAACTACATATCACTTATTGTCGATAAGTCATAATGTTATGGCACAATGGTTTTGAACCACATAGGGGTATTTCACAAAGTTATGCTGTTACATGAGTCATAGTTTTGATAAAATCTAGTCTAGAATTTGAGACTTTCCAAGTTGTCCATTACTGAATGTTGATTAGTGTAAAAATATTTAATTTGAATAGTATTGTCAAAAACTTTTAATTGTCTTTTAACACATTTGGCATAAATGTCTAGTCAGTGCTATTTGATATTAAAGAATTATTAATTTTTAGAAGTTATAATGGTAGAGATTCTATTAATAAAAAGCTCTTATCTTTCTTAGATACCCACTGAAGTATTTATGGGTAAACAATGTGACATCTGGGATTTGCTCGAAAATAATACAGTAGAGAAGAGAAAAAAAGTGGGTAGAGATATATACGTAGCCATGCATTGGTAATTCTCAAAGTTGACAATTACTGCAGGGCTTCATTATAATTTTTTCCTCTGTTTTTTTATGGGATATGTTAAAAAAAATTTCCTAATAAAAACTCAAAAAACAAAACAAAACAGTGATGCCTAATAGTGCTATAACTAGAATAGCATACCTCTAATATACTGTGTAATCAACTGATAATCTAACATCTAGGAAATTAGTTCATATAAACTAGATAAAATTTTAGACTCCAGAATTTCTTTAAAAAATTTTTTTAAATTTAGGTACTTTTCTTAACTTTTTAGATAAGATAGAGAATTATTGGTCCTGGTTTTTTGTTTTTGTTTTTGTTTTTGCCATTCTTATTGAATGCAAAAATCGAGTATAGATAGTGGAATTTGAGTGCTTATTTTATATAGACAAATCATTGCCTCATATTGAGAGTGGAGGCCCTATCAGAGAGTCAGTGTTACTGTCTAATGTCGGGTTTCTATGTAAGGAAAAATGCTTTCAAACAATATTAGAAGACCTAAAGAGACTGCTTGCCTAGAAGAAACAAAGGTTAAGGAAGCAGGCTTGGATTCCATTCACTTTATGTCTTATATCTTATTGTATTTTTCACATGAAGATTTTTAAATCATTTTTTCCAAAATTTTAGTATTAAAAAGCATGAAAACATTATTGATAATTTCTAAACCTAAGTAATATGCAACTTATACAGCATAAAGATGAAAGAAAATATGTTTATGTTAAAGAAAAATATATTTGACACGTATTTTTATTCTTTCCAGTTATCCTTATATCCCTATTCTCCCGGCTCAGCTACTGGAAGTTCTGAGTTCCCCAACACCTTTCATTATTGGAGTACATTCTATCTTTAAAACTGATATCCACGAACTTGTAAGTATTCATCTTTAAAGTTTCCAGTTGAGTCCAGAAGTTTATCATATTACTTTGGGTCCTATAACATTTCAACTAATCACTATTTTCAGATCTGTAGCATTTCCAGTAGAAAAGATTGGATAGAAGAAAAATATCATTGAAAAGTCTGCATATTAATTTTGCCATATACAAGTATAGGAGGTTTTATAAAGGAATTTATTAATATTTTTAAATATCCCTCTTTTGGTGCATTATCTTTATTATTCATCTTACATATGACAAAAGATTAATCTACTAATATTCTATTTATACTTTTGATATTAGTGCATAATTGATTTATATTTTGAAGTGAGGCCTGTCTTGATACCAAATTGCTGATAACTAACAAAGCAGGAAGCATATGCAAAAGAGTGAAGAGTTTTAGTAGAACACAAGTTTGATATGAGCTTCCACCAAATTTTTGTATTCTTAATGCCATATGAATAGGAATACCGAAGAAGGAAAAGTATACTCTACATTCAAGCCAGTTCTGGAATAATTCACTTAGTTCTGTGTGTCACACTTCATGAGGGACTGTAACAAAATAAAGCTTATCAGAAAAGGACATCCAGGATTATCAAGTATTTAGAAACTATATTCTGTAAGGGCCTAAGGAAATTTTCTCAGGTAATAAGCTGATACTATTTCACAGGTAAAGATAAGTATTTAAGTTACTGTCATAGAAGAAGGGTTGAGATTCATTTTTTGTAACTCTAAAAGGCTGAAATAGAATCAGCGGATAAAGTGGCTATAGAAACGGATTTCTGCCCATTAAAAGTATTTCCAACAATTAGAACTGCCCGGTTATAGAATGGATTTCCTTATGTGAGATGAGGAGTGTACTCTCAAGCACTGTGAGTAGAGTGTAAGGAAAAGATTATGTGACACTTTACAGGGAGTCTGAGAGAAATTCTTTACTGTAAAATTAGGCTGCATAACGTCTGTGTTCCACAGATCCCTAAGATTTTGTAATTCTGCTTCTGTTTTAGTTTTAAATCCCAGCAACTAAGTAATTACAGTTGTAACCAAATCAGAGGTGTCATTTAAAGTAACAAAATATTATTCAACATTATAAACAGGACTTTCATTCGTATAGTCATCATTCAGTTTCTAACTTTAGGTGTTGACACTTAGTTCCTATTTAATTTTGGTATCACCATATAAAAATATGTATAAATCAATAAACATTCAATAAAACCTAATTAATACTAATTAGAAGCATACCCACCTGGTTTGTAGGTAATTTTATTTCTTCTAAATGGAAACAGTCACTGGAGGCCGGGCACGGTGGCCCACACCTAAAATCCCAACTCTTTGGGAGGCCAAGGCAGGCAGATCACCTGAGGTCAGGAGTTTGAGACCACCCTGGCCAACATAAAGAAACCCCGCCTCTACTAAAACTACAAAAAATTAGCTGGGCTTGGTGACGCATGCCTCTAATCCCAGCTACTCAGGAGGCTAAGGCAGGAGAATCGCTTGAACCTGAGAGGTGGAGGTTGCAGTGAGTCAAGATTGCACCACTACACTCCAGCCTGGGCGAGAGTAAGACTCCGTCTCAAAAATACATACATACAAACATACATACACATATACATACGTACATACATACAGTTACTGGAGATAGGACAAACCAAGTGTTGCCAAATAAATAAATAAAAACAGTCGCTGGAGGTAGGACAAACCAAGTGTTGCCAAATGCAAATTTCTTAAAATCATAATAAATACATTAGAATGAATTATAATATTGTCAATATAACAGCTTCACTCATCTTGGCTGTTTTCTCTTACATTTTTATGTAAGTTATTTTTAAATAGACTTTTGTAAAATGCTAAAAATCAGATTTTTCTAAGTGGCTAAACAGCACCCTTTTGATGTATACTAATTGCTTTGTTAATTCTTGTAATAAATACTAATTTGTTTAGAATATTACTAAACTACTTGAATAAAGTGTCTGAAATGCAATCCTCTGTGCTTGCTGCAGCCGCATATATAGTAAAATCAGAACAAAATGCAATGGCTGAAACAAAATAGTGTCATTGAACACTCATGCAGCAGTCCATAGACATGTTCCATTTTGCCAGACCAATCTGCTCTATGAAGTTATTCAAGATCCAAGCTTCCATCCTTCTTGTTTCTCCAACAGAATCATCCCAGGCATTGTCATCATGTGTATGCTTGAAGGCTGGTTTGCTGTCAGTTAATAATTTTAGTCTAAGGGAAAAGGAAAGACAGCATAGGAGAGCTTTACATATCCCCTATCTTGAAGGACAGGAATATGTCACTTCTCATGTTTTATTGGCAGAATCTTAGCCACATGCCACATCTAATTTCAAAGGAAGCTGGGAAACACAGTGTTGCTGGGAACTTGTTAGCCCAGAATTGTACTACTATGGACAAACAAGTGTCTCTTCCACACGTGATTCTTCTCATTTTGAATTAGTCAAGGGAAAAATAATTTGCTTAACAACAAATGTATGTCCGTAATTATAGGTTAATTTTTTTTTATCTCTTTCAGTTAGATGTAATCATAGCAGATTTGGATGGAGGCACTATTAAAATTCCTGAATGTATTCACCTCTCTTCTCTCCCAGAACCACTTCTACATCAGACGCAATCAGCTCTTTCTTTGGTATGACATGTTTTTGTAATAGTAACTTTCTCTTTATTTAAATCTGAAGCTAAGATAGCTGAAATTGAAAATGTTTGTCAATACAGTTTGTTACTTTAAAGAGAGCTATATGTTGGAAACATGAACATATGCTCTTATAGTATTTAGAATTATTCATTTACTAGGTAGTTATCTAAAACATCTATTTTGGATCCTAACTGAATATTTGTTCTACATTGCTTCCTTCATTCAGCGTACAGGACCTAGTACTGTCCTAGGTATTGGAAATTCACCTGTGAAAACAAGGCTCTGCCTTGAAATCCCTGATTCCCCTAACATCCCCCATTAGGTGTTGGCTTCTCTTCTCTAGCCTCCCTATTGGCATCTCATTCCTCTTTGGTACCTACAAACACTGTAATATTGTCTTGCCAATACTTTCAGGTTATTACAGAAAGACGTGTCTTACTGATACATAAAATGTCCAACATTCCACTCTAAATGCCATATGAATAGAAATACCAAAGAAGGAGAAGTATACACTACATTCAAGCCAAGTAAAGCTTTAAAACATCTTGTGGGTTCAGTTTTTCTCATTGAAACAGATTGAATTTTTTTTGCAGTTATTTTATCTTAGCTGAATTTTGAAAACATGGTATTTTGTTTTACTGATAGCATTTTAGGTGCTTATCATCAGAAAATTGAAGTGTAGAAATTCTGCATTCCTTTTCAACACGTTACTAGAACTAAGGCCTTCATATTCTACTTTAAGAATATTTTATTCTGGGCTATTTAAAACATTTTTTCCCTCTTAAATAGAAACTTAGAAGCCTAGGATAACCAGGAGGGATTTTATTCTCAGAAAACTTTCAACTTTGTGTTAGTCTTTTTTGTTGTCATAGTGGTATCTGTGAAATGGGAACAGTTAGAGAATCTACTAAAAATACAAAAATTAGCTGGGCATGGTGGCACGTGCCTGTAATCCCAGCTACTCAGGAGGCTGACGCAGGAGAATAGCGTGAACCTGGGAAGCAGAGGTTGCAGTGAGCCGAGATTGCGCCACTGCACTCCAGCCTGGGTAACAGAGCTAGACTCCATCTCAAAAACCAAAACAAGGCCGGGCACAATGGCTCATGCCTGTAATGCCAGCACTTTGGGAGGCTGAGGCGGGCAGATTACCTGTGGTCAGGAGTTCAGGATCAGCCTGGGCAACACTGTGAAACCCCATCTCCACTAAAAATACAAAATTAGCCAGGCGTGGTGACACATGCTTGTAATCCCAGCTACTCAGGAGGCTGAGGCAGGAGAACCGCTTGAACCTGGGAGGTGGAGGATGCGGTGAGCCGAGATCGCGCCATTGCCCTCCAGCCTGGGCAACAAGAGTAAATCTCCGTCTCACCAAAAAAAGAAAAAAGAAAAAAAAGAGTTGATTTAAAGACAATTTAAAGAAAAATCTTGACTATATAATTGCATAGATGGTATATGTATATATAGCAAAAGCTGAGAAGGTAGTATTTGAATGACTGAAGAAAGTTTAATGTTTCTAGAATTCCTATAGGGATTAAATCTTATGTGTGGTTACTTACTAGTGATATGAATAGTTATTTAGGGGTTAAGGACCAAAATTAACAGAGTAAGATTGTACTTCTTAAGCCAATGGCTCCTGGTAAGGGTTCTGCTGCATACTCGTATACCTAAACCTGCAACACCTGTGCCACCAAATTTGATCAATGTGTAAAATTCCTTTTTGGTAAAACTGAGTATACGTATTGTTATAGTTACTAAGCACAATGGTGGATTAGGTACTACTTACTGTTCCGTGAATAAGAAATAGGAGCATAGGACCGGGTGTGGTGGCTCACACCTGTAATCCCAACACTTTGGAAGACTGAGGTGGGTGGATCATCTGAGGTCAGGAGTTCGAGACCAACCTGACCAACATGGCAAAATCCCATCGCTACTGAAAAAAAAAGACAAAAAATTAGCCAGGTGTGGTGGTGCACACCTGTAATCCCAGCTGCTCAGGAGGCTGAGACAGGAGGCTCGCTTGAACCCAGGAGGCGGAGGTTGCCGTGAGCCGAGATCATGCCATTGCACTCCAGCCTGGGCAACAAAAGCGAAACTCCGTCTCAAAAAAAAAAAAAAAAAAAAGAAAAGAAATAGGAGCATAATGTATTGTCAAACTAGGACCAAAAAGAAACTAGATTTCATGGATGATTGGGAACATCAACACACAAGCATATAAGCTTTGTTGCATTAGTAAATAATTATAATCAAATGGCAACACTATACTTAAACTGTGTAATAACAATGGATTATTTTATAGACACCAAGATATTTTGTACTGTGCTTGTGATTCAATGACTTGAACTGCCAATATTTTAGTGTTGTCTTTAAGTGTTGTTTTGAGTCTTTTGGTCTGTTCTCAGCATACCATCAAAAATCTTAGCATTTGAAAATGATTCTGCAAGGAGAAAATTTGCTACATACTGATACAATTTCATCTTCTCTGTGTAAGTCCTACACAGGCCCTTCTTTCCCAGCTGCTCCCCAACCTGCTTTCCTTCAAAGCTTAACTCAAATGTTACTTTATTTTTTGTTTAGTTTTCCCTAAGTTGAATTAATTATGCTTTACATTTCACATATTGCACTTTATATATTTTAGCACTTTTGTGACATGGTTTTATACTTTTACCTGTTTAGACTGCAAAGTTCAAAATCTTATTTTCTTTCTCCTCAGTAATTTTTCTTTTTTTTTTTTTTTGAGACAGAGTCTTGTTCTGTCGCCCAGGCTGGAGTGCAGTGGTGCGATCTCAGCTCACTGCAACCTCTGTCTCCCAGGTTCAAGCTATTCTGCTTCAGCCTCCCAAGTAGCTGGGACTACAGGCATGTGCCACCATGCTGAGCTAATTTTTGTATTTTCACTAGAGACAGGGTTTCACCATGTTGGCCTGGCTGGTCTCAAATTCCTAACCTCAAGTGATCCACCCACCTTGCCCTCCCAAAGTGCTGGGATTACAGGCATGAGCCACTGCACCTGGCCTCTCCTCAGTAATTTTTAATTACACTTAGAACATAAAAACAAGCAGCTGTTTTTAAAAATTCAGCTATATAGATTATTCCCTTACCAGAGATGACTACTATTTTATAGTTTAGTGTATTTTTTTTTCAGAACTTTTCATTCTCATTTCTCTCTCTCTCTCTCTCTCTCTCTCTCTATATATATATATATATATATATATACCTATGTAGATTTAGGGTTTGTTTTGTTTTATTTTCAAATAAATTAGACCATACTATGTGTATTTTTCTAGAACATGTTTCAACTGAATATTTTGTCTTGGAGATCTTTCTACAGTGGTACATATAGAACTACCCCAGCTAATTGAATTGTATTAATGGAGGGAATATATTATAATTCATATGCTGACATTTTCATCTTAATGTCCCAATAATAGATTTCATTGATACTAAGATATTTTACATAACAAAACTTTTTTGCTTTAGATTTTACACCCAGATTTGGAAGTAGCAGATCATGCTTTTCCTCCTCCACGAACAGCTTTATCCCACTCAAAAATGCTGGTAAGAAGTTTAATATTTAAATTTAATGCTGTTGAAGAGAGCTGTACTTTTATTTGTAGGGTTTTTAAAGAAGCTAAGTGAAGTTAGAGTTAGATGGACAGCAGAGTAAAAAGTGCCCAAAACTAGAAATTAAGAGACTTGCCGCTGACTGTCCTTAGGTCCTTCTCAAGGAGGAGGCACAGGGAAGCACACAGGGCAACAGGCCACTAGGGCTAAGACTGTTGCCCTGAGGAGGCATGAGTTAAGTGTAGGACAGAAAATCAGAGCCTAGATTATAGCCTGGAAAACTGTGCCAAGCATCACATTGAAACAGCCAGGCAAGGATTAAAAACAGAAGAGATGCTTACAAAAATGGATATAAAGAATGTTGGTTATAGGAGAGAATCAAGTTTGAAGAGTGTGTGGATGGAAATAGTTCCAATTAGAAGCCATAGAAGGTTATATATATAACAGAGGCCCCTTTTTAATTTTGCTCAGTGCATTTCTTAGCAGTGGGTTTTGTAACCAATAAGGAACCTCAGGGAGCTGAACACATATACTTAAGCATTCTTGACCTTCATTTCCTGATCAATTAAGTAAGGCATTGACTAACAGAATCTGTCAGTTTTCTTACAGTTCTAAACTGTGATTCCAATAAAAGCTGGATTAAATACAATCTTAAGAGTTTTTTCTTCTTATATTTGTCTTATATTTGGTTGTGACTGTAATTGTTTTGGTGCATATAAAAATCAAAGGACTTGGGATATATGCCAAAGGTCCTTGGGATATATGAAAAGGTCACCTTTTTGACTCGATATTTCATTTGTTTTTAAAAAGTTAAATTACTTAACCTTTCTTCTTGTATTTTTAGGATAAAGAGGTGCGAGCAGTTTTCCTTAGATTATTTGCACAACTCTTCCAAGGATATAGATCCTGCCTGCAACTTATAAGAATTCATGCAGAGCCAGTAATACATTTCCACAAAGTAAGATATAGAGTACTGTATTGTGTCTGTCCAAGAAGTATATTCTAATTTAATAAAACTACTTGATTTTTTTTTCCTAGCCATTTATTTTGACCTTGATTTATCAAATGTGATTATTTAAAATCTCTATGTGGTTAGATATCGGTTCTTAATAATAATATGGAATTCACATACTGTTTTAGAATGTGTTAACTTTAAATCAATTTTTCTTTTAAAATCGAATGTTAATTTCTGATTTCTTCTCCTAACATGGAGACAGATTCATTTTTATTCTTTACAATAAATTAGTATTTCAGAATAACTCTCTTTGAGAGAAATGTATTTTATGACAACACGTATTTATACATGAAGGGATTTATATAGGCCTTGCTCTTTTTATTGTATTTTTGTTTTGACCATTTGTCCATTACCAAGTGATAAATTATTATTTCACGTTTTGTTTTTTCACAGACAGCATTCTTGGGGCAGCGTGGTTTGGTCGAGAATGATTTCCTCACTAAAGTACTCAATGGAATGGCATTTGCAGGTTTTGTTTCAGAAAGAGGTCCTCCTTATAGATCTTGTGATCTCTTTGATGAGGTATAGTTCTTATTAAATGAAGGCATTATTTATAGACATAATTAGACTAGTAGTTAAAAGCAAAAAGTAACATTTTTCATATTTATACAATCATATATAAATTAGGTATTAATCCCAATGTTATTTATTATGCTTATCAAATCTCAATATTTTAATGTGGATTATAAAAATTACCAAAAAAATTATAAGATGCCTTGAAAGTACATATAATTTTTGAACAACTGAATTTTAAATAATTGAACAATGTACACTACTCAGGTGATGGGTGCACCAAAATCTCAGAATTCACCACCATATAATTCATCCATGTAACCGAAAACCACTCATACTCCAAAAACTATTCATATTTTAAACTATTATATTTTTAAAAATAGTTGATTAAAATCTTTTTGAAAAGGTAACAGTGATTGTATAAATAGAACTCTTATTTTTAAGGGCCCTAATACAGTAATTCTTTTGTCAGTGTTATAGGGAGAAAGCTCTAATTTGAAGCTAAGATAGCTGAAATTACTTCAAACTGGAGTTACATTTGGTCTATCAGAATCATAGAGCCATAGTTTAAGTTTGTGGCATTCTCACTAATCAATTTTCAACCCTTCTCTACCTGTCTTAGGAGACATTAAACATATGGAAAACAGATTTCTGTCTCTGTCTTCAAGGAATTAGCCATGTAAAGGGAGAAACAGGGCAGATGTGACTCAAAATAAGAATGCTATTTGCATTTATTGTGCTCTTTTTTAAAAGCACCTTTCCATTTATCATTTAACTCTATATTCACAGCAGCCCACTCTGGTGGGTAGAACAAGAATATTATTCTCATTTCAATTTTTGAAAGAGTACTATATTAGAACCAAAAATCTAAAAAGTTTCTTGATATCTATAAAAGAACCACATTCCTAGATCCCAAGATATTGGAGAATCGTGATAGTGGTCATGTTTTGCCTCTGGTGATTTTCTTTTATATAGGGAAGGTAGGAATGAAGGTCTTAAATATCTTTGGTTCAGAGGAGAAGGATCTTTTTTTTTTTTTAAAGATAGTGAAGTATTCACAGGTATGAATTTTTAAAGAAGAGGCACATGTTTTAGTTCTGTGTAGAATATGTTTACTGCATCAGATGCTTTAATTAATAACACAAAGCATACGAAGATTTAGGAAACATCCTGAGGTGGACAATTTTTTGTAATCAATTATTGGTCATTGATTCTCTAATACTACCATATAACATGATTGGTTATTGATTCTACTAACATATCAGCCTTTAGATTCTGTACTAAGTAATTCATAACATAGTATTTTATAGGTTTAAAATAGATGGTCTCCAAGGTCTTTTCTAGCACCTACATTTTGTTAGTCTTTGAAGCTTTATGAATAGTAACATTGGTTTATATACTCTCTCTTTTCTATTCAAATTTATCTTCCTCTGACAGCTTCATCACAACTAAAAAAGCAAGATTAGTTACTTACAGAAAACTTACTTGCCACAGCCTCTATTTTGTAGGTCTTTCCCGTGCTTGGAGTGCCCTCCTCTATTCTTCATGCTCTGCTCTTATCTCACCATCTCTTCCAAACTCTCCCAAAGTTGACTCTGAGAGCCACTCGACTGCGTTAGGCTTCATTTTATGTCTCTAACTTATGTGCTAACTTATTTTTTATTTATTTATTGTTTATACAAATATACTCTAGATTGGAAACAATGATAAGCCAAGGTTCCTATTGGGTCACCCATTAGTGTTCATCCAGTTCTCTGTTTGGCCTACAGTGGTGACTTTGGGTGTCTTACTTTTGTTACTTGACGGCCAGTGAATCGTATGTATATATCAGTCAAGAGCCTAAGAAAAATGAACCATCAGAACTAACTAAATTCTCATTCTACCCTCTTTGGCCATTTGCATGGGAATGCTTTGGTAGAAAAATAGCATTTGCTCCTGGGAAAGTGATCCTTGTTTTCACTTAGCCTAGGGCAGTCTACCACAATGGGGTATTACGGGGCTTTGAGAGGCAACTTGCATTGTGCATGGCCTTGTCCTCACACTCCCATCAGATAGATGTCTTAGAATGAAAAGAATGTTTGCCCTTGATCATCTTTCTGAATCCTAGCCTAGAATAGGTAAGCCATAGTTTTATATGCCTATGCAGCGAATCTATTAGTTCCTAGAAGAATCCTGTATTGTACCTTTTTATTTTTATTGTCCATCTATTTACCCTCCACAATTTTTTTTCCTGTCAGCCTTCTTTTCTTTACCCTAAGTATACAGACTCACACAGTTCTCCCAGTAAATTAGTTAATAAAGAGACAGTTTGAGACTAGAAGGAATCTAAAGGCCATTTTGTTCTTCCATCTTATTTTAGAGATGAGAAAACTGAAGCTCAGGAGTTTTTAAGTGCCTTGTCCCAGATCACACACTATCAGCAGAGCTAGGACTAAAGTCTGAGCATCCTGACTTGGACATTTGGTTCATGTTTTGTGAGTTAAGGAAGTGTTTAGACACTTTCTGACTGTCTAAATTTCTCTGACTGAGGCCTGTGGAATGACAGGGTCTCTCTGAGTTCCAGAAATGACTTTTCCCTAGAAGAAATAGGGCCCTAAATCCTCAGGGGGGGACCACTATACAATTCAAGGGTTTGATTGACCCTATAACCCCAGAATGGAGGTGAAACCCCAAAACCTAAAATATTTTGTTTTAAAAATAATGTATATGTTGGATTTTTTTGGCTTGCAAATTGTATGAAATTATCACAGTTTTTGAATTTGGCATATTTTGGAATTGATGTTTTGCCTTTTGATTCTTTTTCCTAGTTGGTAGCCTTTGAAGTAGAGAGAATTAAAGTTGAAGAAAATAGCCCAGTGAAGATGATAAAGCATGTCAGAGAACTTGCCGAGCAACTATTCAAAAATGTAAGTAAGTGTATTTATTTAGACAGTCATTAATTTTATTTATTTATTTTATTTTTCCATAAGTTATTGGGGTACAGGTGGTATGTGGTTACATGAGTGAGTTCTTTAGTGGTGATCTGTGAGATTTTGGTGCACTCATCACCCAAGCAGTATACACTGCACCATATTTGTAGTCTTTTATCCCTCGCCTCCCTCCCACTCTTCCCCCCAAGTCCCCAAAGTTTATTGTATCATTCTTATGCCTTTGTGTCCTCATAGCTTAGCTCCCATGTATCAGTGAGAACATATAATGTTTGGTTTTCCATCCCTGAGTTACATCACTTAGAATAATAGTCTCCTATCTCATCCAGGTTACTGTAAATGCTGTTAATTCATTCCTTTTCATGGCTGCACAATATGTGTATGCATATATATATATATATGGCACAGTTTCTTTATCCACTCATTGATGGGCATTTGGGTTGTTTCCATGGTTTTGCAATTGTGAATTGTGCTTCTGTAAACATGCATGTGCAAGTATCTTTTTCGAATAATGACTTCTTTTACTCTGAGTAAAACCCCCTAGTGTGATTGCTCGATCAAATGGTAGTTCTACTTTTAGTTCTTTAAGGAATCTCCACACCATTTTCCATAGTAGCTGTACTAGTTTATGTTGACACCAGCAGTGTAGAAGTGTTCCTCGTTCACCACATCCACTCCAACATCAATTGTTTTTTGATCTTTTGATTATGGCCATTCTTGCAGGAGTAAGATGGTATCGCATTATGGCTTTGATTTGCATTTCCCTGATCATTAGTGATGTTGAGCATTTTTTCATATGTTTGTTGGCCATTTGTATATCTTCTTTTGAGAACTGTCTGTTCATGTCCTTAGCCCACTTTTGGATGGGATTGTTTTTTTCTTACTGATTTGTTTGAGTTTGTTATAGATTCTGCATAGTAGTCTTTTGTCAGATGTATAGATTGTGAAGATTTTCTCCCACACTGTGGGTTGTCTGTTTACTCTGCTGACTGTTCCTTTTGCTGTCCAAAAGCTGATTAATTAGGCCTCAGTTATTTATCTTTGTTTTTATTGCATTTGCTTTTGGGTTCTTGGTCATGAAATCCTTGCCTAAGCCAATGTCTAGAAGGGTTTTTCCAGTATTCTAGAATTTTTATAGTTTCAGGTCTTAGGTTTTAAGTCCTTAATCCATATTGAGTTGATTTTTGTATAAGGTGAGAGATGAGGATCCAGTTTCATTCTCCTACATGTGGCTAACCAATTATCCCAGCACCATTTGTTGAAAAAGATGTCCTTTCCCCACTTTATGTTTTTGTTTTCTTTATTGAAGATCAGTTGGCTGTAAGTGTTTGGGTTCTCTATGCTGTTCCATTGGTCTATGTGCCTGTTTTCATACCAGTACCATGCTGTTTTGGTGACTATGGCCTTATAGTATAGTTTGAAATCAGGTAGTGTGATGCCTCCAAATTTGTTCTTTTTGCTTAGTCTTGCTTTGGCTATGTGGGCTCTTTTTTGGTTCCATATGAATTTTAGAATTGTTTTTTCTAATTCTGTGAAGAATGATGATGGTATTCCGATGGGGATTGCATTGAATTTGTAGATTGCTTTTGGTGGTATGGTCATTTTCACAATATTGGTTCTACCCATCCATGAGCATGGGATGTGTTTCCATTTGTTTGCATTGTTTATTATTTTTTTCAGCCGTGTTTTGTAGTTTTCCATGTAGAGGTCTTTCGACTCCTTTGTTAGGTATATTACTAAGTATTTTAACTTTTTTGCAGCTATTGTAAAGGGGTTGAGTTCTTGATTTGGTTCTCTGCTTGGTCGCTGTTGGTTTATAGAAGAGCTTCTGATTTGTGTACATTAATCTCGTATCTGGAAACTTTGCTGAATTCTTTTATCAGTTCTAGGAGCTTTCTAGAGGAGTCCTTAGGGTTTTCAAGGTAAATGATTATACCATCAGCAAGCAGTGACAGTTTTAGTTCCTCCTTACCGATTTAGATGCCCTTTATTTCTTTCTCTTGTCTGATTGTTCTGGCTAGGACTTCCAGTACTGTGTTGAAAAGGAGTGGTGAGAGTGGTTATCCTTGTCTTGTTCCAGTTCTCAGAGGGAATGCTTTCAACTTTCCCCCATTCAATATTATATTGACTGTGGGTGTGTTATAGATGGCTTTTATGACATTAAGGTATGTCCCTCATATGCCAGTTTTGCTGAGAGTTTTAATCATAAAGGGATGCTAAATTTTGTCCAGTGCTTTGTATCTATTGAGATGATCATGTGATTTTTGTTTTTAATTCTGTTTATATGGTGTATCACATTTACTGACATGTATGTTAACCTATCCCTGCATCCCTGGTATGAAACCCACTTGATCATGGTGGATTATCTTTTTGATATGTTGTTGGATTTGGTTAGCTAGTATTTTGTTACGGATTTTAGCATCTGTGTTCATCAAGGATATCAGTCTGCAGTTTTCCTTTTTTGGTTATGTCCTTTCCTGGTTTGGGTATTAGGGTGATGCTGGCTTCATACAATAAATTAGGGATAGTTCCTTCTTTCTGTGTCTTGTGGAATAGTGTCAAAAGGATTGGTACCAATTTTTCATTGAATGTCTGATAGAATTCTGCTGTGAATCCATCTGGTCCTCGACTTTTTTTTGTTGGTAATTTTTAAATTACCATTTCAATCTTGCTGCTTGTTATTGGTTTGTTCAGGGTATCTAATTCTTTCTGATTTAAGCTAGGAAGGTTGTATTTTTCCAGGAATTTATTAGTCTCTTCTAGGTTTTCTAATTTATGTGTGTAAAGGTGTTGCCTTGAATGATCCTTTGTATTTCAGTGGTGTCAGGTGTAATATCTCCAGTTTCATTTCTTAGTGAGATTATTTGAACTTTCTGTCTTCTTTTCTTGGTTAATCTTGCTAATGGTCTATCAATTTTATTTATTTTTTCAAAGAACTAGCTTTTTGTTTCATTTATCTTTTGTAAATTTTTTGTTTCAATTTCATTTATTTCTGCTCTGATCTTGGTTATTTCCTTTCTTCCGCTGGGTTTAAATTTGGTTTGTTCTGGCCGGGCGCGGTGGCTCAAGCCTGTAATCCTAGCACTTTGGGAGGCCGAGACGGGCGGATCACGAGGTCAGGAGATCGAGACCATCCTGGCTAACATGGTGAAACCCCGTCTCTACTAAAAAATACAAAAAAAAAAACTAGCCGGGCACGGTGGCGGGCGCCTGTAGTCCCAGCTACTCGGGAGGCTGAGGCAGGAGAATGGCATGAACCCGGGAGGCGGAGCTTGCAGTGAGCTGAGATCCGGCCATTGCACTCCAGCCTGGGCGACAGAGCGAGACTCCGTCTCAAAAAAAAAAAAAAAAAAAAAAAAAAAAAAATTTGGTTTGTTCTTGTTTCTCTGGTTCCTTGAGGTGTGACCTTAGATTGTCTGTCTGTGCTCTTTCAGCCTTTTTGATGTAGGCATTTAGGGCTATGAACTTTCCTCTTAGCACCGCCTTTGCGGTATCCCAGAGGTTTTGATAGGTTGTGTCATTATTGTCATTCAGCTCAAAGAATTTTCTAATCTCCATCTTGATTTCGTTTTTGACTGAATGCTCATTCAGGAGCAGGTTATTTAAATTCCATGTATTTGCATGGTTTTGAAGGTTCCTTTTGGAGTTGATTTCCAGTTTTATTCCACTGTGGTTTGAGAGAGTGCTGGATAAAATTTCAATTTTCTTAAGTTTATTGAGGCTTGTTTCATGGCCTATGATATGGTCTATCTTGGAGAAAGTTCCATGCACTGTTGAATAGAATGTGTATTCTGCGGTGGTTGGATGAAATGTTCTGTATATATCCGTTAAGTCTGTTTGTTCCAAGATATAGTTTAAATCCATTGTTTCTTTGTTGACTTTCTGTCTTGAGGACCTGTCTAATGCTGTCAGTAGAGTATTGAAGTCCCCCACTATTATTGTGTTGCTGTCTATCTCATTTCTTAAGTCTATTAGTAATTGTTTTATAAATTTGGAAGCTCCAGTGTTAGGTGCATATATGTTTAGGATTGTGATATTTTCCTGCTGGAGAAGGCCTTTTACCATTATTTACTGTGCCTCTTTGTCTTTTTTAACCACTGTTGCTTTACAGTTTGTTTTGTCTCATGTAAGAATAGCTTACCCAGCCAGGCATGGTGGCTCACGCTTGTAATCCCAGCACTTTGGGAAGCCGAGGCGGGAGGATCTCCTGAGGTCAGGAAATTGAGACCAGCCTTGCCAACATGGTGAAACCCCATCTCTACTAAAAATACAAAAATTAGCCAGGCATGGTGGCAGGCACCTATAATCCCAGCTATTTGGGAGGCTGAGGCAGGAAAATCACTTGAACCTGAGAGGCAGGGGTTGCAGTGAGCCAAGATTGCACCACTGTACTGCAGCCTGAGTGTCAGAGCAGATTCTATCTCAAACAAAACAAAACAAAACAAAAAAACCAACTAAAAAGAATAGCTACCCCTGCTTGCTTTTGGTGTCCATTTGCATGACATGCCTTTTTCTACTCCTTTACCTTAAGTTTATGTGAGTCCTTATGTGTTAGGTGAGTCTCCTGAAGGCAGCAGATAGTTGGTTGGTGAGTTCTTATCCATTCTTCAGTTCTGTATCTTTTAAATGGAGCATTCAGGTCGTTTACATTCAGTGTTAGTATTGAAATGTGAGGTACCATTGCTTTCATCATGCTCTTTGTTGCCTGTGTGCTTTGGTTTTGTTTTTTGTTTTTGCTTTTTAACTTGTGTTTTTGTTTTATAGGTCCTGTGTGATTTATGCTTTAAAGAGGTTCTGTTTTGATGTGTTTCCTGGATTTGTTTCAAGATTTAGAGCTCCTTTTAGCAGTTCTTGTAGTGGTGGTTTGGTAATGGTGAATTCTTTCAGCATTTGTTTGTCTGAAAAATGACTTTCTTTTGTATATGATGTTTAGTTTTGCTGGATACAAAATTCTTGGCTGATAGTTGTTTTGTTTGAGG